TCGACTTGAGTCACACACCTAACAATGATGGATGAGTTGCATTCACAAGAACTCGAACATGAAGATTTGCTTAAACGACATCTTGCTCATATCTTGCTGCTTACCACTTGAGCGATGTCATGTCGGAGAAGTTGGATACTTTAATTTTATGAGCCCATAAATAAAAGAGCCAATAAGAAAACACAGGCGGTTGGAGGGGAGAGTGGGAGTAGGAGTCAGTGATTTTCCAGTGCTAATTTCCTTACAAAGGCCCCACATTTTTTTTTTTTTTTGTTTTATTTTCTTTCTTCATATGTAGAACAAAAATAGCAACAAAATAATCTTTCTTTTCATTGCATAATTTTAAAATTCTATTACAAAATAATAATAATAATAATAATAATAATAATAATAATAATAATAATAATAATAATAATAATATTGTTTTGCCAAAAGGCTGATGATGAGAGTCTGAGATAATTTCTCCAGGACAAGATTTTGTGTACAATGGGGATATTGAGTTTCAATCCTCCCTGTATATTAATACTGCACTGAATCTACGTGGTTGTTTCTGGCGTTTTGAAATCCTATATGGCAAAATTACATGCTTCGTTATTAGGCTTGGGTAAATTTTAATTTAATTCCAAACCAAATATAATTAGGTTCGGATTACCATAAATATGTTGATTATTTATGGTCATGTTACATGTATTAATTGTATTTTAATATCATTACTTATTATAATTGTATATATATTTTAAAAGCTAATAACTTTTGTATTTTTTATCAGTTTTACATATGTAATATATCAAATTAATCTTCTTTTGATGAGTTTCGATTTAACATCCATATTGTATGTATAAAAAAATAATTTATATTTATCTTTATAAAAATAATAAAATTATTTTTAATATTAATTAGAAAAATAAAATTATTTATCAACTAATATATTTATATTTCAAGTAGTTATATGATATAAGTTATAACAACTAATACAATATAACATATGTAAGTCATAAGTAACACATATCATTCTAAAATATATAGTAATATATTTTTTTGTAAAAACGTAAACTAAATTTAATTTAGTTTTCTCATTAAATTTAAAATTTAAGAATAATTTTTTAACAAGCACCCGTGTAATACACGGGTGTTGTACTAGTTTATTATACTAAATAAATAAATAATATAAATAATAATAATAATAATAATAATAATAATAATCTATATATATATATATATAAAGAATTACTATTTTTTAAAAATGGCAAGTCAAACTGTGGTCAAATATAGTTGAGCATTAATTGCATGCTATTAATAGCAAGTTTTTATTTTATTTTTTTTTATTTAGAAATGTGCATCATTAATTATTACATTTAAATGTAGAGTTTGTTATTTATTTTTGCGCAAGATTAGGCTGTTCATTTTTCATTTTCACAAATTTAAAAGAAAAACTTTCTTTAACATATAATCGTGTACCACATTGTAAATTTTATTTTATTAAAAAAATAAATTACGCCTAATTTAATAATATAAACTTAAGTTAGTATTACAAAAATTCAGAAACTCTTTTAACATCAACTCTCTACAATTGTTCAAATCGGATGCTTTTATTTTTTTTAAATAAATTACAATTCATTTATTTGGTGGATTTGGTACATGTAATAAATTACAGTTCATTTAAACCCCTAAAAGATAAATTGCACTGTTCTAAAAGTCGGCCTAGGCGCTAGGCGGCGCCTAGGCGCTAGGCGGTGCCCAGGCGCCTCCGATTTGCACAAATCGGCCAAAAAAATCGGTCAGGCGGCTAGGCGGCGCCTAGGCGGGCCTAGGCGGCCCTAGGCGCTCCTAGGCGGCCTAGGCGGGCTCAGCGGCCAGGCGGTTAGGCGGCGCCTAGGCGGGCGTAGGCGGGACCTAGGCGCTCCTAGGCGGGCTCGGCGGAAATTTTTCAATTTTTTTTTTAAATACTAATTACATTATTTTGTTCTCATGTTTTCTTTAAAATATATTAATATTATTATTTTGACTTAGGTGTGTCGATTTATTATAAGTTGAGATACTTTTATTTTGTTAGTAGTTAAATAAATAAAAAATAAAGTATTTAATATTAATTTCTAGGCCCCGACTAGGCCCCGCCTAGGCGCTCTAGGCGCTAGGTGCTGGTCGAGCGCCTAGCGGGCGCCTAGCGACTTTTAGAACACTGATAAATTGGTGGATTTGGTTTCATTAAGTTCTAAAATTTCGATCATTGAATATAATTTGAAATTCAAAATCCTTTCTCATGTTTGATTTAAAAAATCCAATTGTGTTTTTTATTCCAAACAATCATATTGCCGAAAAAATTACCTTAAAACTTGAATTGAAAATTTGAAATTCAAATCCCTTCTCATTTTAGTTGCCATAAAATTGGCTTAATTCAAAATCTCTTTCTAATATAAAGGATTTTGTTCAAATTGAATTAAAAAATTTCTAATCACATGCTTCTATCCTTGGACGACTAACCTTAAATGAGGAATTTTGCGCCATTGTAAAATTAACAAACCTCTTGAAAATTACAAAATTATAATGAATTTTATTTTTTTAGGTTTCAATTTTCACGAAATTCAACATGGTTAAGAATTTCAATTAATCGAAATTCATCTCTTTAATTTTTTTCCATAAGTTTCAAAATTTTACAATAATTAAGTCAAATTACAAATGTATTGTTTCAAAAATCAAGAGGATAATTTTGAAAATAGACAGTTTTTTTTCTTTTCAAAAATTGTCTTAGTCTCCATTCCATATAAAATAAATCATATTTTATTTGTAAAATTGATAAATTTGCATAAACATGGAATTTTATGCGTACAATTTTTTTTTTTTTTTTTTTTTTTTTTT